TCTGTCTCTGGCTATCGACAAAGTGTCAGCAGTGTCTGGGGGAGGGAGGAGCTCCCCTGATTTCTCACTCCCTTCCTCCCACTCAGAGCTTCCTCCCCACCTCACTACAGAAGGAGTAGAAACCTTTGCAGGACTCCAGCAAACAGTTGCTGCACGTTAACTTGATTTAACTATATGACCAAGAGCGAGATTTTGCTTGGGCTCAAGCTAATTCCAGCCTGGAGGAATGCCAGGGAAGCTCAGCCRTGCAGCTCTCAGGGGTGCCCAGCATGGAGACGAGGATGGGCCGAGGAACGCGGCGCTCTGCTGGCACAGACTTGGCTGTCCTTGACACCAGGATGCTGCTGCTGCCTCCTGGGACCCGGTTCTGTCTGCCAGGAGCTGCAGGGGAAGGAGCAGGGACGGGCACAGGCAGTGCTTGCCCTGGTTTTTGTGGTCATCCTGAAGCTGCTGAGCTGGCTGAGGGCTACAAGGGGGAAGTTTGGGTGGCTATTTTGGGGGTGRTGTCCAGCACTGGGGTTGGGCAAGCTCAACTGGGGAAGCCCATGCTCTCAGAGATCATTCACCCAGCTCCTGGCCTGTTCCCCTTTGGTGCAGGTCTCACCCTGATCGTCAGTGAGAGACATTCACCGGCCATCCACAAAATCTGAGACCCTCAACAAGATCTTCCACGGATCAAACCTTTCCTCCAATTCAGACAGCTTTGCTGGAGAAGTCAAGATCAGCTGGAGGGTCTCCCCCAATGCCATCAACAGAGCCAGAAGYTGGAATGTCCAGCCAGGGCAAGGCAGCCCCGGGCCAGCATCTGGGATGTGCTTTGTGCTGGCATTCCTGGTTCGAGCTGAGCTACAGCCACAGGGGAAAAGCCCTGAGCTGCCTTCACTGGGCCTGGAGGGCAGAGAAGGAGGCACTGACCAGGAATTCATTCATTCATCTTYAGCAGCACTGCAGCATCAATCATCCCCGTGTCCCAAAACTCACCACAAACGCAGAAAAACATCTCYCTTGCTGTGGGTATCACTGACCATTTCCAGCTGCATTTATTGCAGGAGGAGCTTTTGTGGGTGGCATTGATGCTCCAGGTGCTGAGTGCCAGGTCCTGGCTGTTGGCACCAGGATGACATTGGCCAAAGTTGTTCTGCTCCAGTGGCACAGGCTCTCCAAGTCATCTGGAGAGAAAATCCTCCCGGAGAGCATCCATGCAAAGCACCAGGAGTGCAGGGGAGGAAGCAGGGGAGAACAAGGGGCCTTCCCCTTCAATTCTGTTGTGCAAGCAAAGCAGGAGCCAAGGAACACCAGGGAAAGCCTGAGAAAAGCAATTGGTGAAGTGAGGAAAGGAAATGTCGCCTCAAAACTAGCAACCTCATCTTGTTGGCACCTCTTTGGTCTGAGTGCAGCCCGAGAGGAGGCCGTGCTCCACAGAGATGCTCAGAGATGAGGGATGCTCCCTCCTCCTGCCTTCCTCCAGGACCTGCTCATCACCAGCAGGATGGACAGACAGACAGACAGACACTGCATGCACTGGGGCAGGGCAGGACAGAGGAGAGAAATCTCARTAATGAGCCTAAAATTGATTCACTTCTGCTCAGTGTGATTTCTCCTAACTGGATCCACATGTCCTGGCCATGGCACATTAACTTCRATTACAGCTTATTAATGTCTCCGTGATGGAGCGTGCCCTGCCGAGCACGGCGGTGACTGACGTTCAGGAGGGGAAAAAATCACTCCAGAGACACCCAGRGTGGGCTGGAAGGAGAACCAGAGGCTCTCCAGCAGCCAGGGGAAGCTCATTCACCCGTGCCCGAGCTCATTGCAGCACTGAGGAGCAGATGAAGCAGTGAATAGAGAGATTTGTGGGGAAAAGTCCTTCCCCTTCCCWTCCCCACCCTGCCTGGCACAYRCACAGCGCAAGGGCTCGCTCGGGTCTATTCCTGTCCTGACTCTCCTGCAGCTCCAGTTACTCTGCAGATCAATAGGGACAGGATGGAAGAAGAAAGAAAAGCAAAAAAAAAGATACCAAGAAGAAAGAGTAAAAATAAACTGTCAGCCATGAACGGGGAGATGGAGCTGGCTGAGGATGTGGAGATGCAGAGGAGTTCCTGAAGGACCAGCCCACTGTACCAACCCCTGGGAATGAAGCAGTGACCCCCAGGACTCACCAKACCCTCTGGTCTGCAGGACAAAAGAAGGCAGAAAACTCCTTCCCCTKGTCCCCATATCCCTCGCTCTGTCTCTTTCTGTTTTTCCCAAAAGTTCTGGGAGATTGTGGTGAGGCTTTTCCTCAGTGAGGTGTGAASGATGGGGAAGTACAAGGACTGAGGGGATCACAGAAACCTCTGAACCCACCAGGCAAGAGATACCACCCTGGCTCCTGGCCTGCTCTGAGGGCAAAGTGCTCTTCCTTTGAGCATGGAAGAGCACTGGAAATGAGCTGCCAAGGGTCCAATCATCCTGGGCACTGCCAAAATACCAATACTGCACAGGAACACTGGCAATGCCACCGTGGCAGCACACCCTGCCCCTCCACTGCCACACACTGGGGCTGGGCACAGCTCTCCATCCTCTCGGGGCTGCTCCCTCTGYTCTCCAGGTGCAATTCTTGGGCTGCTTTTTACCTTTGACCCCTCATTTCTTCATGAGCATCTTCCCTGTTGTTTCCATGTCCCCTGGAGTGGGTCCCTAACACCACCCCAGTTTTATCGAGGCATTTCCTCCTGTTCCTCCAACACATCCTGGAAGAGGCAGTGTGTGTCCATCCCCATCCCTGCCCACCCTCCCTTCCCCCGTTCCGTGCACTGTGCTCCTGTCATGCTCACATTGATTTCTCCTCTCTTCCTCTCAATAACCCATCCCTTGTTGAGCCATACACAAGATTTAATTTGGTTTTAGTCCCTGCACTGTAACTGGCTTTGCTTACAGCTGGAATTAGATTGCTTTTCAGTGCAAAAACCTGCTTGCTGGGACTGGAATAATCACAGGAGCAGAGTTAATTCACAGGGAGCTTCTCCATCTTATACACCACTTATCCACAGCTGGTCACCTTCCCTGCCCTGTGCCCAGGGGGGTTGGAAGAGTCATCCCAGGACAGGTATTGACCCCTTCCCTGTCCAKGATGAGCATCCCTCTCTCCTGAGAACCAGCCCAGCAGCGCAAAGCCGCACCTTTCTGTGGCTCAGAACTTGAAGTTTAGGCTGATAAAAGCAGATTTCAGAGCTGTCTCAGCTCTCAGCCAAGGAAAAGCCCTCTCCTCCCAGCGGCCGTGCTGCACTGGAGAAGGCGGCCGGGCAGTTTTTAGGGAGTGGAGCCAAGAGCGGAGCAGGAGCAGGAGCCGCGGCTCTGCAGCAGCCGTGGGCAGGCGGCCACGCCGGCTCTGAGCCAACAGCGATCCGGCCGGCAGCGATCCGCCAGCGAGCCCGACCTGGCTGCTGCTGGCCCCGGCTAAAAAACAGCACTGCAGCTTCCCCAGGGCSTTCACAGCCCGGCAATGCCCGGCTCCAGCGCCCTCGGAATGGTGGATGGCTCCTAAAGGCTGTGACTCCCCCAGCTCTGGGAATGTTTGAAAGGGTTTTTCCTCCCTTCCCGAAAAAGCTGACGCTTTTCACAGAATATTTAGGGATTTTGTGTCTTGAACCRATCTCTGCTGCTATTAAATGGTATKAAATTTGGCCAGCGAGTTCAAAAGCTGCTGGGGGAGTGGGGAGSGGGGAGGAGGCCAGCTGAGAGCAAGGTGCTGGTTTGGGGAGAATCCCAACAGCATGGCCTGAAATCCAAAATACTGAAGTGACAAATCCTGCCCAAGGCAGGCAGGAAAGGTGAATGGCTCAGAGGAGGAAGACATTCACAGGACACACACAGTATTTCAGTGCTTTGAAGCATCAGGTACCCCGAGGCTGCTGCAGGAGCAGTAACRGGTTCTTGGTTATCTGAGTTTATCTCCACACTCAGAACCCAGAGGTCACTGTGCTGTCACTGATATCAAACATTCAGTCCTAACTCACCAGACACAATTGGAGGTGCTCTCCTGCTCCTCTGCCCACCTGCCTGAGCCCCCCAGGGCTCCTCCCTGAGCAATCCCAATAGTGGGGACCCCGACATGCCCCCAACTCARCTGAGAGCCACAGCTGCTCACCCCAGACAGGCTCCACGCCGTGAGAAACACCCTCAGCGCTGCCTCCTGCCCGCCCTGGCGGGTGGAAAGGGCTCTCCCATCCCTCCCTGCAGCTTCCTTCCCCTTGGAGCCTGTTCAAAGGCAGCCTCGGTGGCACCTGCAAACATTTCTACTTGCAAGTCTCAGAAGCAAACGGTTTGGAACCGATACAAACGGCTCCTCTGTCGCTGTGGTGATGCTTGTTAGCACGGGGTGGGTGATGGGGAGATTTTTCCCCTCTCKCCTCTAAGTCTCGCACAAGCTGGATGGGAAATCAGCCATCTCGGCACTTTTCCACCTTACTTTGCTTTTTCGGTTGATGTCATAACGTAACATATGGCATCGTACAGAGAAATGAAAAACAAAACCCAGGAGAAACAAACCCCCTCCTGCTTCCTCTGCCCCAGATCTGTCAGGGGGTTTACCCTCACSCCAAACTTCACCCGCTGGGGTTGCTCAGGGTGTGCAAGACTGACTCAGGATAGCCTGAGAGCCTGGCAGAGAGCTGGAGTTTAGTGGRGTGAGCCTCATTCCACCCCCCAGATCCACCAGCATCACCCTTGAGAYCTCAGGGCAGAGGAGGCCAGCTGTGTTTGCACATCTGGGACAGAGCTTTGGAGGGAACTCAGACCCTCAGTGTCCATCCAAGCCACGTCCCAGCTCCCCCAACAGCAGCAGCTGCAGGAGGACACCGCCTTGGAGGTGTCCCTGCAAGGACACATCTGCTGAAGGGGTGTTAGAGGGAGGGCTGGTTATCTCTCCGTCAGCAGAAACGCTGATGGCTCCATTTTCCAGCATCACCCCCTTCTCACCCCTCCGAGCAGAGACACCCAAAGAAACACAGCACCGTTACCTGCCGGTGACCTCGATGTTGGACACGGCGTAGAAATACTTGTACAAGTTCTCCCTCTGCACGTAGGTGCCCCCCAGGGCGGGTCTCAGCAGCCTCATGCGCAGGTCGGTGACGGTGAAGAAGTCCTTGAGCCCTTTGGCGCTCTCCAGCCGCGTGTACAAGTTGTCCATGTTCTTGAGCTCGGGGCCGGCGAAGATGGCGAAGCGATCCCGCACCTCGAAGCGGACGGTTTTCTCCTTCTTGGAGCCCGCCCAGCGGGAATACTCCTCGGTGCAGAGCACCCTGTTGGCACTGGTGGTGGAGAGGTCGCGGACCCTCCGTGCTGGCATGCTGAAGGCCTCCATGCAGTCATCAGCGTAATACTGGTACGGGTGCCAAGTCCTGCCGTTGTCCAGCGACTTCTCCAGCATCATGATGGTGGGGCGCCCGTACTCGAAGGTGATGACGATGTCGTCGGTCAGCTCGATGCTCTTGTTCCACGACAGGGTGATGTTGGCCAGCAGCGGCTCGGGGTAGCGGCGCCACGTCACGCTCTGCCAGTAGGTAGCCAGCCCCTCGTCCTCGCTGTCGAACATGAGCTTGGGCGGGTGGGCCAGGTCGGGGTTGGAGGCGTCGCACTCGTCGCTGCACAGGTATGGGTTCTCCTGGAACGACAACAGCGGTCAGCAGAGAGGAGTGGAACGTGGGTGAGCTGGGTTTGGGTGCTTGTGTCAAACCTTAACTGCTGGAGGGGCCGGGGTCTGGCGTGGGAGGAGGTTCTGACAATGGGTTTGAGGCACAAAGGTGTGGCTTTGCCTCAGCTGTGAGAATGAACGGCTGAGCTGTTTGCTCTGAAAGGCCCTCTGGGAAAGGGCTGTTCAATTTGGCACAGGGGCAGTTTTCATGGAAAGCCTTCCCCGAGACGGTCTCTGAGAAACCTGGGTTAAGTTTGGCCGATTTACAAGCWTTACAGAAAGCTTTGTTCATCCCTGCTGTGCTCATCCCCTTGGAAGAGCTGAATGGCTAAAATCCCCCAAACACACCCCTGCCTCTCACRGATCCTATTGCTGAGAAGGCTGGGGACACACCGTCACCCCAGAACCTCTGAGCATGACTGGAGGAGGGAAACACAACTTTTCCAGCTCCATGCTGGGACAGGACCAAGCAGCAGCAGAGATTTGTKCTCCTGGTGCCTTGATCCTCCCCTWYGCACAGGGAACACRGTGGGGAGGATGGCTYATCCCATCCAGGTGACAGTGACCACTGCCTCCAGGCCTGGGCAGGGGGAGGAAAGGTCCAGCCACCCCATTTTGCCCACAGGTGACAGTGCGTGGCCAAGCTGGAGTGTTTTRCAGGGACACACCTCCACATCCATGTGTGCAGAGCTGCACCAGGACACACCGTCAAGGTCACGCAGCAAATGCTGAAGTTTTGGGGGTTGGCAGCTGTGCCAATGCATTTATTGCTGTCCCATGTGTGTGTTACAGCCCAGCATCAGTTTCTGTACAGCCCCTGCCCCCAGGAGCGAGCAGGTGGGTCAGACCTGCTGTGGGGCTGTGTTCTCGTGGGCACAGAACACAAATAAACTCTGCCACACACTGCAAATCCTCATTTTGCAAAGGAAGCATCTCTTTGCTGTCACTTTGCCTCCYTCTCAGGCTCCAAATCCAAAGGATTGGGGAGGGAGAGGGACTGCTATGACAGCGGGCTCTGCTGCTGTGGGACCCTCAGGAAGGCAGAGGCACCTGGCAGAGGAGAAGGAGGAGGTGATAAAGCAGCTGGAGCTGCTCAGAGCTGCTGCTGGAGGTGAGGAGATTGCTGGGGTGCGAGGTCTGGCTCTCCTGAGCACAGCAGCTTTGCAGGTAAGACCGAGCTGGGTGTTGTACTTTGGTTTGTGGGTGCTCTGTGTGTGGTTGGGAGCTGTGGGAAGGTGCTGTCTGAGGGATCAGCGTGTTCCTGCCCAGCCCTGGGGATTTTCTGCAGCACCAGGGCTGTGTCACGGCGCAGGGAACTCCAAAAATGGGGTTCAAGGCTGGATCTGAGCAGGCTGGTTGCATCTGTGGGTGCTGCAGGTGTGGGGAGAGGCTGCTCCTGTGCCCATGGCTTGCTTTGACCTGGGAACTGTTGGAGTTCAAGTGCYTGTGAGCTGATTTTGGGTGCCCTGTGCACACCCAGGCACAGCAGAGGAGGGGGTCTACCTTCTCCAAGTGGGTGAACATGGAAAGCTCTGAGCATGCTTTGGAAAATCTGGGCTTTGCCACCTCCAGCCARGCAACCAAAAGTCTTGGAAGCCACTTAGAGCTTCTCCTCTCCGTGTCTCTAAAATAGGCCTGCGGTGCCTCCTGACAGCTCAGAGATGGGCACCGAAGGGAAGGGACTGTTTGCACAGGGAGCAGAGGACACAGAGCCCTGAAAAACTCCTGAGGACACAATAACAGTGTCTGGAGCAGTGTGTGAGCACTCAGTGAACGAGGCAGGAGCAGTCAGCTCGGGGAAAGCAAACCAGTGAGGGGCTGATCTGTGTGTGAGCACTGGAGAGGGACCCCTGTAAATCCAGCACACAGTGTGTCGGTGTGTTTGTGAGCAGGGAAGGCAGCCCGAGATAAACCAGGTCACAACTCAAACTGTTCTCCTGCTCTGACACTCCCCTGCCTGATGGGGAAGTCAGAGTGCCCTGCTGGGGTTTGCTYCTTTTGTCACAACCTCATGTGTGGCTTTTGTCACCTCTGTGTGTGCCCGGAGGAAGGGCTGGGACTGGAGCTGGTGCCCACCCTGGAGCAGGGAGTTTACTCAAAAATGAATGTTTAGGTTGATGTTTGAAAAGCAAATAACTGGACAGTTGGGTTTTTTGTTTTTTTTTTTTTTTTTTTTTTTTTTTTTTTTTTTTTTTTTTTTTTTTTTTTTTTTTTTTCTTGTGATAACTGAGTGAGGGAAATCCATGGAGTTCAGGTGGGCGAGGTCGAGGGGTGAAGTGTCCCCACAACCCCCTCAAGGATGGGGAGATGCCAGCTGGGCTCTGAGCCGTGCTGTGGGGTCCTCTCCTGCCACCACACGCTGTTCTGGAGCAGGCATTAAAAACCCTGAGCTATATACAGGTTTAATATGCTCTCCTGACTCGTCACGTTCAGAGGAATTGTTTACCTCTGCTAATGAGACACAGCTTCCTGCTGGAAGGGCGGTGGAGCTGCCTCTCAGCGCAGCTTTATTCTGGTGGCAGAGGGAAAAGGCAGAAAAAAAAAACCCCTCAGCTCAAGGGCTGGGGGCTCTGAGTGTATTTCCTGTGCTGAGGCAACATATTGTGCTGCAGTATGGTGCTCCTGTCAGTGTGGCCATACAGATGGCTTAATAGGACAGCCCTGAAAAGACCATCCCGAGGTCCGTTTTCGCCACTTGGCTGAAGGAGGGTGGGGAATTGGCTTGGGATGGCAGCAGAAAAATCCCTGGTGAAGCCACTTTGCTGCTCAGTGGCTCTGTCTGAGCAGAGTTTGTGTCTCAGTGCTGTCCTGGCCAGAGAGCTGAGCCTTCCTTTCCTCGTGTGCAGCAGCCACAGCCCCCGAGCTGGTGTGACATGAACCTCACTGAGAATTTGCCACTCGAGCTGTCCCCAGCATGGCCACGGTGGCCACCTCCAGGCTGTGGATGATGCTCAGTGATTTCTCTTGGTTGGCCAGACTGAGCACAGGAAGGGTTCTGCCACCAAACCCCGATCAGGAGCTTTAGTGAAGGGYGGCAGGATGGGAGGCGGGACAGCTTTCCCCGGAGCAGGGAGGGAAAAAAACGAGTTTGATCAAGCATGATCCCCCTCCCAGTGTCCCGTCTGGAGGGACAGGGCTGTCCCTGGCAGGGGCCTGGCGGGGCAGGAGAGGGGAGAAGCAGAGTGTGAACTCTGCCCGTCTGCCGTGTGCCCATCCTGGGGAACAGAGGGGCACAATCCCCCATGGCTCCYGTTTATCCCAGCCTGTGAGCACACCCAGCTCAGCAGACAGCACCCACAAAGGTCTCTTCAACCACCCTGATGCTCTGGAAAGGCGCAGAGCTCAAGAGGTGTATGGCTGTAACAGAGCAAACTCCAAAATAACCCCAGGTGCCAGCGCTGGCAGGTGGGGAGAGCCTCAAAAGCCACCGAGTGAGTCACATCACTACGGCTTCCTCYGCTCAAATGAAGTGTTCCTTTTTGGGGTTAGGTTTATTGAATTGTCCTTCCTCTGCGGGATGCTCGATGCCTTTTCTGCTGGAGGGGTGGTTTGGAGTCAGCCAGGAGGGCAGGGGGGAGCGGAAACAGATGGCCACGCTTTGGCTGCTCCCCGGGTCCTGGTAAGATCAGATATAGCACTATTGAAACAATTCCAGGTATTATTTTTGAGTCTGGTTTTCCTCCTCCAAGCCGTGTGTCCTCCAAAGAATCTGTCCAAAGTCTCGAGATATTTAAGTCTTCAATCTAAAAGTCAGGATGCATTAGCCAGGCAAACTTGGTCTCAGTGAGCTTAAAATAAACCAGTTCACTTGGAGTCTCACGCTATTAAATCAGTCGTGAGTGTCCTCGCAGCAACCAAACATTGCAGATTTCAGGCTCTCCAGCTCTCCTGGCTGTGCATTTTTGGGGGTGCACCACAGAGTGCTGCAGTCTTGCTCAGCCCAAAGGGGCAAAACTCCAGGGGGCAAACAGCAAGAGCCTTGTTGGGGACACGGTGTCCTAAAAAATGGCATCACAGTGAGGTTGGAACCACASAAYGGTTYGGGTTGGAAGGGACCTTCAAAAGTCACCTGGTCCAACCCCCCTGCTGTGGGCAAGGACATCTTCCAGCAGGTCAGGCTGCTCAAAGCCCACCCTGACCTTGAATGTTTCCACACCCATCACCTCTCTGAGCTTTTACAGTGCCAGGATTTTACCACCTCATTGTAAAACTTTTCATCCTTACATCATCTGAACCTGTTCTCTTTTAGTTTAAACCATCATCCCTTATCCTAACGCTACAATTGATGATAAAGAGCCCTCCCCAACTTTCCTGCAGACCCCCTTCAGGTGCTAGGACTGTAAATTCTCCTTGGCAGGGCTGCTCTCAGTCCTTCATCCCCCAGCCTGGGTTGATGCAGCGGTTTCCAGATCCAGATCCAAATTCTGCACTCACGAGGTTCCCTGGAACCCAATCCTTGAGCTGGAAATGTGTCCCAGCCCTGCTGAGTGCTGACCCAGCCCTTGGGTTTTGCCTTCTCGTGGTTCCTGGAGTCAGTTCTGGGCAGAAATGCTGCAAAAGGGACTTTCTGAAGGTGACACGGAAGATTTGCTCCTTGAGGAGGATTTCTTAAGAAACAAGATATTGGTCTGACAAAGCAGGATGACAGGAATYCAGGATGCTGCAGAAGAGCTGCTCCCCACCTTGCTGAGAAGGGGGGCAATGGGAGAAAGCAGCCACAACAAAAAGTCCCAGTTTTATAAAGCCCAGCTAATTTTTAGGGCTCTTAATGAGCGCAAAAGTTGCTTTTAAATTTTTTTTTTTGCCCTAGCAGATAATACCATTTTTAAGCCTCATAGCATAAAATGATGTATTTTTGTAGGTGAAATTGCTTGATTAATCATTAGGCTGTTGAATATTTTAAACAAACCAGACATCTGTTGTGAATGGTGAAAGCTGCACAGAAATAAGACTGCAGCTTTCAGATCTCCATGCCAAAGGGAAGCTGGAAAGCAATTGCAACCACAGTGGAGAAAAATAAGAAAAATAATAATAATAATATTAAAGGGGGAAAAAACACAACCAAGATTTGAGCAAGGAAAAATGAGTAGATGATGTGAGAGCTGGTTCTGCTGAGCCAAGGATGCTCAGTCACAGCTCTCATACCTGGTGTGGTTTGTTTAATGGTGTCTTGGGAATGCYCCTGGACTTCCTTTGCTTTTGGGGGTCTCTTCTGTTTGATGGAAWTGTGTTTAAGCCAAGGCCTCTGCTAAAACCTAAAGCACCATGGGAGCACTTGTTTTTAATTACAGCCTCCTAATAAGAGTAATGACAAGGTCTCATCAACTTGGATGAGTTCTGGAAAACAAAACTTCGTGTTTTTTTTTTAATTGGGAATGGGAGGTGAAAATCCTTGGTGTTTTATATGAAGATTTTTATTAAAGGGGAACAAGTTAAATGTGTCTCTTCAGCAAAAGATCAGTGCTGAGTGAGTTTCTCTTGAGAACTTTCTTCTGGAGTGGGTTTTTTTTCTCTRAGAACTGGCTCTCAAACCCTGGGTGTCTCCAGCCTTTCCTGCCAWGTGCTGGTTGGGCCTGGGGGGTGTGTGACAGCCCCCCCCATAGCCTGAAGAACCACATCTGGCTCCTTTGACACGAGGAAAAGCAGGTGACAGCACAGAAACCCCCTTCCCTCCTTCCTGGGAGTGCTTGTGACTGAGAAAACCTCAGTCTGATCCTCCACCAGGAGGGGACAATTCCCCTGGAGCCCCCACTCCACCTAACTGTGATGCTTAAGGAGCTCTCAGGAGCATCCTAAAGGCCCTTCTGCTTCCTCTGGGACATCCAAGGCCCTTCTGCTTCTCTCAGGATGATCCCAAGGCCTTTCTGCTTCTCTCAGGATGATCCCAAGGCCTTTCTGCTTCTCTCAGGATGATCCCAAGGCCCTTCTGCTTCCCCTGGGACACCCGAGGACGCTGCCTTTGCGTTTCTGCTCAAAGGTCAGCAGATGAGCCTACAAAGTCCCTGTGTTGCCTCGTGCTCTAACCAAGTCCTGAAGTCGGTATCAAATTTCCTCCAAATCCTGCAAAAAAAGGGGGATCAGCAGAATCTCTGTGTGCAGCTGATCCCTCCTGCCCTGACAGTGTCCCCACCACAGCGCAGGTGTCCTTCCCTGTGTCACAGAGAGGGCTGGGACATGGGACAGGGGGGTCCCCAATCTGCAGAGGGGAGCAGGGCCAGCCCACTCCATCCCTGCCTGTCCTGTGGATGTTCTGGAGCACATTTCCCCCCAGGGTTTATTTTCTCCCCACAGGCTGCAGGAGGGAGCTGCAATGCCCTTCCTGGCACATTTGCTTTCCTGCTTCGCTCTCGGCTGAGCTCCCCCACCTCACGCTGGGATTCAGGGCTTCAYTTCCCTTCCACCCCCTGCCCTGGCTTTCCTGACTGTGCCAGGGCTTCACAGGGATCTCTGTTCCCATCCTGGCCGTGCTGTGGGTTTGCTGTGGTGTCTGTCAGCACTGGGAAGTCACCCTGGGAGCAGGGAATGTGCCTGACCCAGCTCTGGTGCCAACCACCCTTCACCTCCCTGCTGACACAGAGTTCAGCCTGTTTTCAGCAACACAAATCTCTGACAAGGGCCACCCCCAGCAATGCATGTTTTAGGAAATTTCCTTGATTTTTCTTCCCGTCATCACTCTGGGATGTGATGCTGCTTCCCAAGCAGAATTGCATTTACCCAGGAGAAAACACGGGCTCGCCCTAAAGTCATCTCAGGCTGTTCTCACTCTCTCTGCTCCTGATCTGAGGGTTSAACTGCTCTGTCTGGGTTTATGACAAGACAAGCTGATTTTATGATCAAAAATAGCATTTGTGAGTAATTAAATCTCACGCTTCGGGGCATAAACCGTAACCTGCCAGTGGCCAGGGTGGGACTCCAAGAGAGCTGGAAATACTCTCTGACAATTAATTTTCACTCCATTCATGGGCTGGGAGGGATCAGAGGGGTGAAACAACCGTAATTAATTTACAGCGATTATTTCCAACAGCTGGCAAGTGGCACAGCTCACTGCAGAGAGGGCTGGGAGCATGGAGAGGGRGCAGGAGAAATATGAGGTAACCCTCACGGCAAAAAAACCCACATGGACCCTTCCCTGTGAGSCCAGGTGAGGGTCTGTGCCCTCCTCTGAGGGGCACTGGGATCTGTCTGGCTGGGTTTGCTCTTCTTGCACTGATTCCCTGTTCCCCAAGCAGGCCCTGGGCTTTCCTCACCCCACAGCTGTGGCTTGAACCTGGAAAACATCTCAGAACAGCTTTGGGATGGCTGTCAGCGTGCAGGGAGGGGTCCCTAATGGGGTCAGCATCAACTGTGGATACTCTGGAGATGCTCCAAATGCAAAACTATACCTTTTAGAAACAAAACCCTAACAACTTCCTTCAAGATGCTATGTTTTCTTCTTTTTTTCTCTCTCTCTCTCTTTTTAAAACACCCCTTTGGTCAGGCTCTCTATATTTTAAATAAGACAGAAGCTGTCTCCTGTGGTRGAAGACAGTTTTCCCATGGGCTGCCTGTGCGGCTGCAGCCCGRGAGCCACTGGGGAACGCTCCAGCAAACCCTTCATCAGCACATCCTCCAGGCATCGCTCTCCCTCCCCGCTGCCCCTCCAGAGGGAGCTTTTTAAGTGGCCCATGGGGGCAGCAAGGCTCTGGCAAAGCACCCAGACACTGGTGAGGGGTTATTTCACAGCTTCATCCCTGCAGGGAAAGGGCAGCTCAGTTTGGGATGGGGTGGCACAGGATGGGAAGCTCAGGGTGGGTTGGTGGGGTGCTTTGCTSGCTCGTGTGTCCTTCCCCTGCCACCTCCCTCCCCCAGCCATCTGCAAGGGGTTCTTATTAAGGCACAGACAGCAAAAGGGGAGAAAAGCGTCCTCGCTAACAAGCTGTTTGCTGTTTATGAGCAGGTAAAGGCAGAGCTGGGATGAATTATTAATAGGGTGGAAATGGGGTCCCTCCACAGATCTGCTGCTAATTCTGGCTCAGCCGAATGTCACTCCCTCCATCTCCTCCGCGGCCGCGGTTTGGGGGATTGATTGCTCCTCCGCTTCCTTCCCCTTCCTGCCGGATCGGAGGCTGTCCGAGCACAAGGTCACCCTTTGCCGGGGCGTTAGGACGGGCTTTGCCTGCGTGCGGGGTTGGGGAGAGCGTGAGTCAGCAGAACGGGTCCCTCCGGCTCCGGCCGAGACASCGGGACGCGCTCGGCGCGACATTTGTGCTGTGAGCTGTTCCCTTTGGCCCCAGCACATCCTCACACACCGAGCAGCGCCGCTCCTTCAGGGCTCCGGGCTCCCTTGGGCCCGTCTCTCCGCCGGAGAAGAGATCCGAGCCCTCCTCGTGGCTGCTCTTCCCCTTCCCCCTCCAGCCTGCTCTCCATTCTCTCCATTCCAGAAGCATCTCGTTGGTGTTTCATCCCGGCTCAGCACCGTGCCCTTCTCCCCACCGGCCGCTGTGTCCTATCTCCAGGTGGGGAAACTGAGGCAGGGAAGGATTTCAGGAGCAGGGCTGGAACTACTTTTTTTTCTCTTCACTTTTACCCAAACATCTATTTCATATTAATTAAAAAAAAAAAAAAATCAAATTTTTCACTTCAAAAAAACCCACATTTACTCTATAACATTTTTTTTCTCTAAAAACATTATCTCAAACCAAAACAACGGGTTGTTGAGGGCTCCACTTTTCTGAGGACTGAACTCCCCCAGGCACCTGCAGGAGGGCAGAGCAAGGCTCACCCAGCCTTGATGTGAGCACCAGGAGAATCTCTGCTTTCACCCCACACTCTCTGAAACTCCCTGTCAAAGGGTCTGAGCCCATCTTTGCACTGTAAATGACACAACSCCGGCAAAAGGCCGACCCCAGGCAGGAGGATTCGAGAGAGATGCGGCTGTCACACTCCAGGGCTGACCCTGTCACCTGTCCACCCTCGCAGCGCGGTCACACCGCTCCTGCCCCGCCACAAATCCCCCGACGCCCACTCTGGCTAAGCCACAAACAGAAAATCTGGTTACACGAGGAATTTTAACCTCACGCCCGAAACCAGCCCCGTCCATGGGTGACCTCTCCGAGAAGGGCTCCAGGCACGGTGTGTGCAGAGTGACCTCGGGGCAGCACTCCGGTCCCCARAGCCCCGGGATGGCCTGGAACGGCTCTGTCCCCGCTGCTGGCTCCCCTGTCCCGGGAGAGGCGTGTGCGGCTGATTTGGGGGCGGAACAAGGGTTAACGCCGCCCGGAAAATTCCACTCCTAAGCAGATAATCTCATCTGCGCTGGGGATACACACACCCCACCCGCAGCAGCCCGGCCTCCCGTGGAATCGTTTTTGAGCAGCTCTKTCTTTGTGACCCGCTAATCCCGCCGTGAGCCGCTCTAACCCCATCCCTCCCACCGCCCTGCGCTCACCTCCAGCCCCACCTGCACCCCTGGAGCTCCCTTTTGGGCAGAGATAGATGGGCAAAGATGGGCTCAGATAAACCCGACACCCCGGTCTGGCAGCCGTGGGCCCGTGTTCAAAGCCGCGGGTGTTTAATCCCATTGACTGCTTTTGAGCTGTCTCCARACTCGGGCTTTCCGTACCGGCGAGTCGCAAGCTCTGCTCTTCCCAGGGCACTTCCCTGAAGCTTGTTTACAAATTAAACCGCTCGGATTCCACCCCATCCCTTCCCTGCCAGATTTTTAAACCCTTGCRTTCTTGCTACAGAGATGCATTGGTGTCCGCAGCCCCGAGCAGCAGGAGCACAGCAGCAGCAGCGACCTGTGTGCAGGGCTGCGAGTGCATTATTGATTCAGGACTCAGAAAATGCTTAGGAAGTAGGAAAAGTGTCCTGCTCTCTAAAAGCTTGTGCGCCTTGTAAGCTCAATAGATGCAGCCTTTGCAGAGAGGCTCGCTACGCCGCTATTAATAATTTATTCTCTAAGAGAGGCCCTGATAGTTTGAATGGGGGAGGGCAGGACGCAGAGCCCGGGGGTGGGGAAGGGGAGGGAGAGGAGGCTCTTCTGTGCTCCTCGATTTCCCCAGAGCCTCTGGGGAGGGGGCACAGGGGGGTGATGGACACCCCTGCACCCACCCAGCCCCTGAGCAAAGCTCCTTGTGTCTCTGCCYTTGCTGCTGCCTTGCCTGCTTTGTRTTCTCTTTCAGGGGAACAATCCAGCAGGTGCCTGTGGGAGGTTTGAACTGAGTTGTGTCAGCCCAAAATGTGTCGTGGCTGTCCCCGAGGGCAGGACAGTGATCATCCCCTTTGACAGGGCTCCCCAAAGCTCCTGGCTGGCAGCACCACAGAGCTGAAGCAGCTGACTCAGCCAGCAGATGGGRAGTCAGAAACCCTTTGGCTGGCATTGGAAACCAGTAAAATCTGTGCTGGGTGTCCCTTTGGGACGTGGAGGTGTCCAGGCAGGAGTGGACAGGGTGGTGGCCGCACCCACGTGGAGCTCCGCGCCGGGACAGCACTGACCCATTGCTGGTGCCGGAGCTTGCAGGAGCTCCAAGGGTGGCACCGGGTGTGGAGCTCCACGGAGAGGAGAGGGAGGGAGAGCTGCTGCCCCAGAGGCTCCTCCGTGGATGGCAGCCAGCCGGAGAGGTGGTGGCCAGCGGGTGACACCCAGCCCGGGGACTGAGCTGAGCTGCCGGGCCAGAACCCCGTGCTGCCCCTCCCGCGGCTGGAGCCTGCCCAGGGACGCTGACAAACGCAGAAATGCAGCCCRGAGCCAAGAGGCAGAGGTTTCCCCGAGCCTGGCGTGTGTAGCACCGAGCAGATGTGCCGAGGCAGCGGTGCCAAGCGCTGGGGCTGGGGCAGGGCAGTGGAGCAGGGCAGGAGCGGGGTCAATGTCCCCTCTGGGTGTGCTGGTGGCCCTGCCTGGGACAGGGGGACATGTGGAAACCTCCTGGGACATTCTGGGGCTGCAGAGGATGGCTCATCTACCTGGGGTGAAGGCTGGCACTCCAAATTGCTGTTTGTCAGGGCTTTGCAGGTGTTAGCAACTCTCCAAAGACATCTCCAGAATGGTCACCCAGCAGTGCTGTGTGGTTTGGGGAGGAAAAAGCCTCTTTGGTGTTTTCCAGCACACAAACCTGCGTTCTGTGTTGAACTGCCTGAGTAAGTGGGTCAGCCAAAGCTCCACGTCTCAACTGATGGTGAAAAGGTGGTTTGGGATATGAAACTTTCTGGACTGAAACTGGACTTTGACTCATGGAAACCAGAGCGTGGTAAGAGAGCTCTCACCACTCAGGCAGGATTTTCTGGAAGGAGAATTCCTTTTGAAGTTTAGTGGAAAATCATCTCTATGCTATAGAATACAATACAGATTTTAAAAGAAGTAAATAGGAAGGATTTCCCTGAACAACTTCAGCTTCAAAAGTTGCCTGTGGTAAACTGTGGTAGCTGGAGCTGCTGTGTGAGTGTAAGAGTTGCTCTCTCAGCTCTGGCCACACTCCCCAGCAAGTCTTCAGTCCGTTCTCTTCTGCTTTTCCCATCTGGAAACTGCTCCCTTTGAAGAGCAAAGCCTTTCTTAAAAGTAGTTTACTCTTCCTCACCTCCTTCAAAGTGGGGATAAACTTTCTGCTCGCTGTACCAATTAAATCTACTTGACAGCTTCATTTTTATCACTGTGTCCTTCCCATCAGCAAGTGGAAATGATCCTTGTTAGGGGAGTAGCATCCCACTTTACAACAAGATGAATCCCGAACTGGGCATTTAAGGAAATTGTTACAGGCTRTTGAGGGGAAAATCCCGTTTGCTCAGCACTCTCTAATTTAAAGCTGAATTGTTTCCYTTCATTTTTCTGTGAATCCTTTCCTTTTAAAACACCGAGATGCTGCYGCACTCCGGAGTAGTCTCAATGGCAGAAGAGCAGTGTGTAATTTGCTGAGCAGCTAATAATGCACAACCCAAAGGTCTGGCCCCAAGGGCAAGGAGCCACTGATCCTGACTTCAAACAGTGTCCTCTGCAGCAACCCTGATGCTGAGCAGTGACTGAGCCTGGCAACAGAACCAAAAGGCTCCAGCTCTTTCTGCCACTCTCAAAARCCACTCTCAACTTCCTCGGCAAGTTGTCTTTTCCAGGCTGTCCTCAAAGGGAAAGGGAGCATTTTCCAGGTGTTAATTTGACATCCTGGAGGTTCCAAGGGGAGGAGGGGCTGTAGCACTTGGCAGCTGTGAAAATAAAGTCACATCTTTCTGTCCCTATGCCCGGGGTGTCACAGGTGATTTGACAGCAGAGAGAGAATTTCTTGTGCTGCTGAATTTTGGCATAAAGGCRAAGTGATCGYCCCCAGGGCCATTTGGGTTCCACARGGAAGGGCAAARGGGAGCTCCAGCTCSCTCTGCTATGGCCAAGGGTGGGTTTGCAACAGCAGTGGGTAGTGCTGATTTATYTGAGGAGGGAGAATATCCGCTTTTCTTGGAAAGGATTTTCCATTGGACTTGAATACAGGCTCTGCTTAGCCCAAAGGATCTCCTTGAACCTTAGGGCAGTCAAAAGGCTGAGAATACCTCGTGCTTTGCCCCCTGGTTCTATTTGAAACCAGGCAGAACTCTGGCGGGCTGGGAAAGGGCCGTGGATCTCTGCTCAGGGTACCAGAAGGGGTGAATCCATCCTTTAACCACCAAATCGTGCAGCATCTTTAAAAAAAGCTTTTGGAAGAGCATTGCTGAAACAACTTTTTGCCCTTCTTACTTTAAAACCTTTGGCTKTTCCCTTCTTACTTTAAAAACTTTTGGTTTTTAATCATCCCTAAACCCACAATCCTTTGTTTGCACCTAAAAAGGTATGGCTGGGTAGAGTTGTATGAGATGGGCTAAGAATACAGGGAAAAGTGTTTCTTAGCCCAAAGGTCTGTCTGCTTTTTCCAATTTTAGCACCCAGTCCACAGGAGAAATAGTCCTTCAGTACAAGCCTTATAACCACATGTCATTCAGAAAAGTTTAGCTAAGAATTAAACTAAACATCCAATTTGGCCGCATGTGTAATGAATAAATAAAGCCTTTTCCTTTCATGTACCCGTGCCAAAGTCAACAAGCTCTATTAGCTGATGAAACAATGCTGACGCCAAATAAAAATACCCCTGACCCATCAATAAGGGCTGAGAGCTCGGCCCTGCATCAAAGAGTGGTGTCAGAGCAAGAAATAATGTCTTGACACCTTTGCGGGGGGAAAGGTTCCCATTCCTGCAGCAAAGTGGGCTCCCTGTGCTCTCACTGGGGTGTCAAGGAGCAGCAAAACCATTCCATGGTGACTGCTCTGCACACCTCTCCTTGTTTGTGCTGGGATGATTTTGAAACCCCTTGAGCTGCAAAGCTCTTTGGAGCTGGGACTGGGCTCTGGTGTTTGCTCGCTCCCCACTGCACATTCCGTGTGCGAATTCCCCACAAAACCTGAGGAATTTTTATGCTGTGTGCAAAATGCTGATGCTGGGAAGTGAAATTCCCAAAGGTCCCTGCTTGGTATCAAAGAAATGCTTCAGCATCTCGGAGCATCTCGACACCTGGGAGCAGCTGTGCCACMCTCCTCCTCCTCCTCCTGCCCACGAGGGTGGGAGGGTGAAGGAAGGGGGCACATCCTCTGCCCCGTGTGGATGTGCAGCTTGGCCATTTCCCAGCTGTGCCTGCCCTGCAAACYCCTCTCCTCTGAAACCCACGTTCAGCTTCTCCGTGCCATGCCCTGTGTGTGATCTTTGTCATCTCCCCCTCCCTCCACATCCCTGGTTAATAGATCTGTTCCCTGTTAGTCCTCAGTCACACTTTCACAATCATCCAGGCTTTTATTTACTTATCCATCTGTCTTCCTGCTCCTACCACTCCCCCTGCCCTGCCAGGAGGCAAAGCACAATTCATTTTTCAGGTGACCCTGCCAGGAAGGCATTGACATGAATAGGAACAGGTTCARAAACTGTGGAAAAAGCAAAACCCTTGACTTTAATAAGCAGCAAAACGCTTCCCAATCAGAAAGAAGCAGCCAGATGTGACCAGAATTGCTATAAAACACTAAGGACTGTCCTCCAAATAATTCCTGCCATCTCCTGAAGCCTCMTTGTGCAGGAGTGTTGTGAGCCCTGCTGGAGCTGTTGCAGAGCTGTGTGTGATCCCGGGGCTGTGCTCGCTGTGTGCCAAAGTCCTGACTGTCACCAGAACTGCTCCTGTGCCTGCCCAAGCGCTGCCCTGCACGGGGATGTGGCACAGCTCCTTCCTCTCTGCCTGCCTGCAGCACGGAGAGCTGTTTGTGTGTCTCCAGATTTGATTGCAGCCGTCTGAGCAGGGCAGGTGCCCCGCTGGGCTGCGCTTAATTCTGAATAACGCGGGTTTAACTGCACGGACAGTCCCCCGCTGCTTTGAAAGACACCTAAGAAAGCAATACAGTCACCGTAAGAACTTCTCTGCTGGAAAGCCAGGCTCCTATGAGAACCCACCTGTTAGAGGGAAATAATTAAAACCTGAAGAGAAAGGATAACAGGACACCRAAAGGCACCGGAGCAGGCTGGCAGYGAGGAGCCTTTCACCCTCCCYGCTCRCAGCCAGGACCAGGGCTCRGAGCTTGTAACGATCCGTGGGCAGAGACATCGATTTTTGTCCAGCACTTGCTGAGTGCAGGGGGAGCAGAGCTYTGCTGCCATCCTCTGCGGCCCCGCTCCCTCCCCCTGCCCGTCAATAGGTGTGGAGTGACCGCCCAGCCCCGGCCCTGCAAGGGCCGCTTCTTGCTGAGTCCACTTTCCACTGACCAGAAGGGGATGCTCAGCAGTGAGTGACCATGTGTCATTCTCGGTGATAGAGGCAGTGAAAATGTACCTCGATGGGATCCCAGCCCGCACCAGTCCGGCCCTAAGGCTGGACTGGAGCCTGGATCTCTCCTGCAGCCACCCCATACTCTGTTGTGAGCTCCTGGCTCACCTCAGCAGGGCTGYTCTTCCTCTGCTTCATTTTATAACTCTGGAGAGGACAGCACTGGTGTGAGGTGGGGGAGAAAAGGCCATGAACMCAGCAGAATTTCATAAACCTATCCCAAAAAATCTAAAAAACACCTTGCAATAYGTAATTCCTGTTCTTAGYTTGATCCTTCACCAGRGAATTRMTCAGGGCCATTGCTGTGAGTGCTGCTTTCTGTTTTGGGAGGCCAGGCTGGGGTGAGGCAGGGACAGCGAGGCAAATCCATGTTTTGCATTTGTGTAGCTCTCATTCACGGCTGTACACGGTGTTTGCAAGTGTTACAGCACATGGCAGGCGTACGCTACAAGGAAACACTGCTGGTGCCCAGAATAGAAAGATTTCAGCTCGGTATTGACTGAATCAAGAGATGCAGAGTGCTGATTGCAGTTTGTGTCTTTTGCYTCCTCGGAGGTCAGTGGAGCTGAAGTCTGGAGCATCCCTAAGCAGAGAGGGATTGCAAGGAGCTGCAGTGAGTGTGGTGGGAAGCAATCTGGTGTTCTCCCTTTAATCCTTCTGCAGCCGGTCAGATAAATGGGAATACAGACTGACCCATCAATAGTTAACAGTTTTATTTGCAACCCTGGACTTAATCTTTCTTTTTAAACGATCTCTTAAAAGGAAAAGCTGCTACTTATCTGGAATTAGTGGAAATGTCTTCCCTGGTACTAATGAGAGCCCTCAGGCTGGAGGGAACTGGRTAACTCCTGGCAGCATGTTCTGCTGTCACAAATGTTTGGCATCCCTTGGTGTCAAAGGAGCATTTTTCTCTTGGATTTTCAAGAGGTGCCCTGAGCTGGCTGGGCCCAGGGTATTTCCTCGGTGGCAAAGGGAGGCATGGGGTACARGGCTGGGTAAAAGAATAGAAAATGGGACTCTCATTTAGAGGGAGAGCTCTCCTGCTCATTATAATAAATGAATAATAGACTCTTTTAGAAGACACTCCTTGTCCAGGGCTCAACCCAGTGGAAACCCTGCCAGCATGGGCTGGCTTGGTCCCTGTCCCTTAAATGTGTGCTTGGACCACTCCTGGGGGACCTTTGGGAGGGGGCATTAATGCTTTGCTCTTTGCTTTGACCCCTGAACTCTTTAACAATGTAAAGCCTTGTGAATTATAAATCAAATGTTCCTGCTGAGCTTTGTGGTGCACGGAATGAAATGCAATGATTAATATTTAAGAGAAAATAAGTTAAAGATTTTAACTACAAGGGCAAATGTCTGTCCACAGAGTCCTTTCATGTGGAGGCTGGGAGAGAGGGAGAACCACATTTTCGGGGACTTTAGTAAAATTTGTGGCTGTCACACCAACTGCCAGAGCTGAGTGTGTGCGGGGGCCATGCTGCCCCATCACCCATCAGACAATGAACCCACATCCCATAAAATCCCAGTGCTGGGGCAGCCCTTTGGGATGGGGCTGGCGAGCACACCCCACACTCTTTAGCAGGCAGAGGAGCAGCTCASGTTGTGTGTTTGCAGGGGYAGAGCTTTTCCAAAATCCAGACTTTACCCGGGACTCGCTCAGCCCACCCYGGCTCCTCCTCRCCCTCCCCTCGGCGTGGGCGCCTTCACCCCACCCTGAGAGCTCCAGGCAGCATCCACCATRGCCACCCTGACCCAGAACATCCCTCCAGCAGCACCTGGGCTGGACACTTTCCCCAGCCACCAGCAGAGTCTGTCCTAAGCCAGCAAACAAGGATGCAAACACTTACATGGGTGCAGAACCTCTCCGGAGGGTCCCCGCAGGTGATTCCCGCCGGATCCACCCGCACGGTCACGTAATCCTTCATCCTCATGGCCTTGGGCTGGCAGGCGTAAAACTCCCAGGAGGGGCCATCGTCCGTGGTCACCCAGGACTTGCAAATGTCATACTGTCCCATGGCCAGGGGGACGCAGTGCACGAGGAGAGCAGCCAGGTAGAGCATGGCAGCTGCGGCCAGGCGCGGGGTCCCTGGGYGAGGGCAGTGCCGAGAGTCCCGAGGAAGGCAGCGACTGGGCTAGGGGTGGCTCTCGGGATCAGCATGGAAACTCCTCATCTAAAAGTGCTCCAGTCGAAGGAGATCCAGGCGGTAACAGCGATGATCCCGCTCCGCACGCTGGATCGGGATGTGGAAAGTTCCTCTCRGCACAGAAGCCAACTTTGCAATTCACTTGATTGGGAAAGTTTTGGCCAGAGTTGCTGATCAGTGGTCAAAAGTCTTCCTTAACCTCATTTTTCCCCCTTTTATTGTACGAAAGGTCTTCCAAATCAGCATGAAAATATCTAGAGGTGACTCCAGTCAATCAATAGAAAGATCAGGTTCTGAGTTGCTGATGAAATTTGATAGGAGTAGATTGGAGAGKCCGTGAGATGGTGCTGGATCAGGTTTTCCTCAACCTTCTGGTCTGCTCCGAATGCGTCGCTGTGGAAAGTGCCTTAAACCGTGTCTGCCTTAATTATTGGGGTGTTTGAACAGTAGCACATAAAATAAAYAGAGCATCTGGTCATCAGTACAACTCTGACAGGAGAGACTGCTTGGAGATGAAATTCCTTTTCCCCGAGGGATGGTTGTGTCAGTGTGAACAGCTCAGATCCGCAGGGTCCCAGTGGGATTCGGGGCGGTCACTGGGGTCACTGGGGTGACTGGAGCAGGGCTGCCCTTGGCTTCTCCTCTGTGTCCTGTGGTGCTGGCGAGGATTCCTGCCCCTCTCTGCCTTCTGGCAACAGAGCCCCAAGTTCCCAAAGCCTTCAGCTGCGAGCCATGGGGCTACCTGAGGTCTCCTCTCTCTGTCATGGTCAGGGCGAGGGCWGAGCCCATCGGCAGGAGGGACCTGCAAGAAATTGGAAGACAAATTAGGTGGCAGCAAGGGGGGAYAGTGGGAGAGGGAAAACTTGGGGTCCCTCAGGAGGCAGAGCCCTCAGATGGGCTTTGCAATCCACCGGACAGGTTTCTGTAACAGGGAGATCTACAACTTTAATAAAAAGCAATCCATAGTAAGATGCTTATGGCTTTTCTGCTGTCTGGGAGAAGRGAAGGAGTGCTGCCCAATTTAAGGTATCTGCTTTGCAGCAGCAGCTGGACAACAGGAGCTCTAATGGGTCTTCAAATAATATCAAGAAGCAGCTATGGGTCATTAGAAGATGGGGAATATGCAGACACAGAGTAGGGACAGACAGACAAATTGATAGTCCTAAAAAGATAAGCAAATAAATAAGACAGCTGGGGAGACAGATACATTGTCCAGCATCCCCACATATGATTTATCTGAACAATAACATTTCATAAAAAACAATTTAAAGTCCTAATAACATTTAGGTTCACCTAATACAAAGAGCAATGACCTTCCCAGTATTCATTTCAGGTTAGAGCAACATTTCTGCAATTTTGTTGTCTTTCCAGTAGAGCTATAAAAATTGTAAGTAATTACAAAACAAAATGACAAAGAACTGAAGCGGGGAGGGGGGAAAAAGTCAAACCCTCTCTCAGCATTAGATTCAGGAGGGAGAGCTCAGCTCAAGGTAGGAGGCACATACTCAGAACAGAAATTTACCTTTGGATAATTCCCTTTCTATTTGTTTCCCCAACTTCTCTTCCACAATTCAGGCATGTCTGCTTTAACAGCATGCTCAGCATTTGCTCTCTCATGAAGCTCAGTTACTAAAGCTCAGAAACTCCGGGTTAACAGATGCATTGATCCATGTTCGGGGGCTTCACACCGCTGTGCTACCATCTCCCTTTYCCCCCTTTTTGCTTGAAAGACTGCTGATTGAGATGAATGAGTTCAGAAAAGAGAAGCTGTCTCTCATGCTTCATTGCCAGCTCTCAACGAAGAGCCTGTTATAGCTGCGTTGGACCTGAATAAACTCCCWTAAAAAGAATAGACCGGCTGCTATTTTTATATTATGAGTAAATGTAGTAAAAATAATAAGGCAGTGTGACACAGTGTTTATAAGTCCTACTTACATCAGAGCTGTCTTTTCAGTTATAACAAGTCAGCTCCTAATTATTACATCAAACTGGTCACTGCCAAGTGCCTGATAACAGCGCAGAGTGAGAGGCTCCCGTATTGTGTAGAAAACAAGCAGGGTAGTTTTAATGAGGACTCCAGCACTGTTAACTTTATGGATCTATTTTCATAGCCTCAACAATTATATCTTGCACTTGAATGGCTGTCAGGGAAAAACCCAGGTAGAAAGRATCTATAATATCTATTAGTGTCTTGTTATGCCGGCTAAATGTCACAGATTCCCAGGGAAATGAAAAAYTGCTGGGAAAAAATGCATTTACTGTCAGTCCATCAGCCAGGCAAGCGGGTTTGGGGCGAAGTCTGCAGCGCAACTCTTACTTAGGCAGTCCAGTCCCTGTGCAGGAATAGTTGGAGTGTTGCTCTGGAACGAGCCAACATCCTGCAAACGGGGCAGAGAGGCTCCCCGAATTAAAGGTTTCACCCTGCTCCATTTGGTTTGATTCTTAGAAAATAAATCTTCACCTGATATTATTAAGAAACTGCAGTTCATGGGAACAAATAGAATCAATGCTCTTTGTTCTCTTTGAAGAGTACTCAGCACTCGCTGGGGACTGATAGCCGGAGTATTAAAAACACAAAATTAGATTGTGTCTTGACTTAGCTGGCTCCGGGTTTTTTTTTCTTTTCCTTATTATTGGATTAACACCCTATTGAAATAAAGGGACAACGCTGAGCAACAACTGAGCTGCTCTCGGATTAAGAGCAGAAAGTAAACTCAATGAAGGAGTTTTTAATTTTCTCTCAGAAGTGTTGCTCTCCCCCTTGAACTCCCCGCTCTCCCCCCGCGCTCATGGAGCGGGAGTTGTTCTCCTCTTTSCCACGCTGACCATCCCTTCCCCGCGTCTGAACAGGGAATTTGGGGACACCCGCGGGGACCCGGGAGCCCGAATTCCGCGATAACGCTGCGCGGCTCCGGCTGAAAAACCTGTAAATGCCGCTCGCATCCCGCCGCTCTCCCTGGTGGATTCGCGGTTCCCGGCAAAACCCGATGCCGCTCCCCCTCCGCCCCATCCTCCCCGGTTTGTTTTACACTAAAAGGACTTTGKGGGGGCTGCGCGGGCTGGAGAGGGAATCGGCGGGGCAGGGGGAGCCGGCGCACGGGGCTGGRGGAGCCCCCCGGCTTCCCAAACTCCGAAGTGGGAAAATAAACCCCATCCCGCGGCGGGGAGATGGGGACGTTCCGGGGAGGGGGACAGAGAGCGGGACACCCCAGGAACGCCTGGCAACAACTCGGGAGGAGCGGGGGGACGCTCGGGGCTGGGGCAGATGCCGGCGCTGCCCGCCCTCCCCTCCGCCCCCGCTTTCCCCCCATCCCCGGCGCTCGGCGCTGCGGGTCCTTACCGGGAGCGAGCTCTGCGGCGCGGGGCTCCCGGCGGAGCAGCCAACTTCGGGGCCGGGGGAACCTCCAAAACACACCCTCCAGCCCAGCCCAGCCCAGCCCTGCCCTGCCCTGCCCTGCCCAGCCCTGCCCAGCGCGGCGGGCAGGCGCTGCGCCGCCGGCCCCCAAGGGCAGATGGCCGGGGGAGCTTTGTGCAATCCCGGCTCCCCTCGCAAGTTAATGCCGAGGCTGAAATCCCTTTTGCTCTCACTTTCAATCACAATCGGAGCTTTTATCTCCGTGCCTGATCCCGGCTGCGTAACTTCCTCTGTGCAGCTTTAGCACACACCATCCCACCGGCGGCAATGGGCTTCTTAAAGGTGCAGGAGGAAATGCAGGGGGGGAGGAGGAGGAGGGAGGGAAAACCACCCGAGGAAGAGGAGGCTGCGAGCGGGAGCCTTCARCCCCGGCGGCTCCGCGGCTCCCGGTGCAGCATCCGCGCCGTCCCGCTGCCCCCGGCTGGATAACGGCAGCCGGGAATGCCGTTCCTAGGGGCTTCTCTTTTATTTTTTTCCTTTAAGAGCTTAGAAAAAAAAAATTAAAATCATGAGATCATGTTTGCTCGAGAGGAAAAAAAAAAAAAAATCTCCAGTCACGAGGGTTTCCCCACACGTGTAAGTCCTCGCTTGGTGTGCCCTGAATATTTTGGGGAGGCTTCTGCTGGCGAAGATGCTGTAAATGAGGCTGCGTGCGTGTGTGTTGGGGGAAGAGGGGGTGGTTGGAATTAATAGGATAAACAAAGCAGGAACTCGGAGATGGGGAAATCAGATGGCTGGGAAATGCTTGATACTGGTGGGAATGTGCTGTGAGATTTAACCAAACCAGGTTTTGCTTYGGAAAGGTGGGGGAATAACGTGCTGGGCTGTAAGATGTGACAGCCCCTTCCAGCACGGGGCTGGAGAAGTGGGGGTTGCTTAGATCAGCTCTGTTGAGGGGCAGAGGAGGCTCCAGCTGTGACCAAGGTGGATAAAACTGTGGCAGGTCAAGGTTCAAGATTTCCTTGCACCAGGCAGCTGCTGCAGACAGGATTCCTGAGCAGTGAYAGGTTTTTGACACGTGGATAAATGACAGTCGGTGGGTGAACGACAGTTCGTTTATGGGGAGGAAAACCAAAGAATCACCACTGCCTGCCATGTACCAATATAGGTACATCAAAACCGACCACCAAAATAGGACTGCTCCTTCCTAACCAGGAATTCCATCATTTTTAAGCCAGAAAATGCGTTGTCCATCTTACACGTGGTTTGAACCTCATGCACTCAGTAGTGTTTGAASTCATCAGTTTGAACCTCACCTCACTCACTTTGTTATGTGATTTCCTTTGGCCCATTGCTCTGAGGTCCCTGTGTGGTTTCTCCCATCGAAGAGTCCCTGGAAAACACACGATTCATCCTGCAACMAGACAGAGGTGATTTAGGGCTCTTCTGGGAAACGTTTCCCATGTTCTGGAGCATAAGTGAGATTTATGAAACGCTGGCATTGTGTCTTGACTGTGGCCCAGCCTGAATGTGAYGCTGATGCACAGGGTGGTCTTCACCTGCAAGGATATCTTTGATTCTGGCTCARTTTCCACTCCAGGACATGGTCTGATACTTTCCACATGGTAACTTCTTCTGTAAACACTTATKTTACAGCAGCAGTATAACTTCAGTGAGAAGCACTGGCTGGGAAWCCAGGGCTGGCTAATATTCCTGGATCTCACTTTGTGCCTTTAGGTCTGCTCCGTGGTAATGACTCCCCTGGAAATTCCCCACGTCTCACTTATTACTTCTTTATTAGTTATTATGGTACAGTAACAGGATAAAAAGGAGTTGGTATTTCATTTTCATTCCCTCTAATAGCCACGGCAAAGACCAAGTGGTGTGCTGATTATTGACATCAGAGTTAAGTGATATGCACGCATCATTAGGTTTCAATTGGAAAGAATAACAGCACAGTGTGAGTCGTCACACTTCTAAACTCCGTGGCATTTAAGGAAAAACCAAAGTCGTTTTTCACAGCCCTGCAAGCTCAAAAGATCAGAAGCTGGCAATAATACTTGTATAGACACAGGTAAAAGGCGCTAGCTCCAGGCAAAGCAAAGAATTAACTAATGAGTGAAACCCCCTGGAGAAGCCGGCAGCAGCTGTGGGGCTTGTCCAAGGTTACACAGCGATTCAGGAGATCCAGGAGCRGGCTTGGAGGATGGAAAAATCACCGAGCTCCTGGCAGGTGTGGTCCTGGGAAGGAGAGGGATTGTCCGTGGCACTCACAGACCCAGGAGGCTGAAGGAAGTGGCGAAGCAGCGGCTTCTCTGCCTTGGGGAAAAGTTGCAGTCATTTTTTCATTTTAGACCATTTGCATTCTTTTACCCAAGCGCATTTTTGCAAATATTTAATGCTGGGTACTGTTTTCTTCTGGGTGAAATTTCTGTGGGGAGGAAAAATGGATGTGTTTTCCCTCGAGGGGACAGCTCAGCTCCCTCCCTCGCACCGAGCGCTACCTCCTCGCACGAGGAGAACGCGGCTGAAAATCAATGGGTCTGCGTGGAGATTTAATTACTGCAGCGTAGGCAGGGGTGGAGAATAAGGCCCTTAATATTTAATACAGCCTCTGCTCCCCAAGGGATCCCCGGGGCTCAAGGGCCAAATGTAAGCCCATTAAAATCAGGTGTAATTCTATTGACATATGCGGGCTCGCACCTGTTTATACCAGGGCTATATTTGGCTCCCTAAAAATCTAAACGGCAAATGGTGCTTTGGCCATGTGTGGAAAAAGAGGGAAGTGTTTTCCTGTGTTCCTGACTTGGGATGACAGAGGATGTGCCGAAACAACAGAAGGTAAACGTGACACCTCGCGGTCCCTGCTCGCCGTGGCGAAGCACTCACTAACATTTCAGTGAGTCGAGCCTATGGAGAGTGATCCAAGATCTCTGCCAGAATAAAAACCAGGCTCAGAAAGGATCCTTCCTTTGAGGGTGCACATTGCTGTATCACCCATAACAGCAACGCATTCTTTTTCTGCTCCTTTTCTGGCAATGTGTGGCCGAGGATGCCAAAGCACCTCCTGCGAGTGAGTAAGCATTTTATTAGGAGGGAACACACGGCTTGGAACTGCTCTGAGCCCAGGAGCAGGCAAGAGACCCCTTGGTGAGGGGTAAAATCTGCCAAGAACAGCTCTACCCAAACCTTGTTCCACTGGTGGCTTTCCCCAGCCAGGACCTCTGGGGATAAATTCACCAGGAAAAGGAAGGAAATGACTGAAGGGTGATTTTGGTTGGGATGTTACAGATGAAGAGGTGAAGGCTGCTTGAACCTCACACTTGCGCGGGGGATTTGTCTCCTCTCACCACCCTGGTACTGCCCTTTTGTTCTTAGCAAGCTGAATGTGAAGAAAGCTCCCAGCATGATCAGGATGGGGAGGTTTGTGCTTCCCAGCTCCTCGTGCAAACACAAAATCACGGAGTTTTAGAAGGCAGAGAGGCATCATATTTTGTAGTTAGGAGAAACGCTGGAAAACCCACACAAAGCCTGAGAAACTGAGCAACAGCCAGCTCAGGCACCCGCAGGCCGTGAGGGTGGGTGGGGGACATTTATTTTCCTGCTCTGGCCTCTGTGTCAGCCCCACAACCGCTCCCCTGCCCTGCTCCGAGGCGCACACAGACCCCGGGAGCAGGGATGGAAAAACCGAATGCTTCAATCCCTGGAGTATTCCACATTTTCCTTCCTTTGTGAGAGCTACTGGGGAAATGGCAGAGAGCATCTGCTCTGGGAGGGGAGGCTTCCCCGGCTGCCTCCTCCCACCCTCCCGCACAAGACCTCGGGATGCATTTTCTGCAGCTCAGCCGCTTTCACGGGGCCCTGAGTGAATTTTGCCCTCCCTGATTAGATAACCAAAGGAGCAGTGACTGTACTCTCCAGAGAGAAGATGCTGTCTCTTTGCTGCCAGAAGGACAGCTGGAGGGAGGGTGGGATTTTCAGCATGCAAGCACTTAGCCAGATCAAGGAAATGGGATGCAAAGCATTTTAGGCTAAGAAAGGTTGTTGTGCAGGGAAACATGAGGCTGCTGTTCTGTTCGGGAGATAACGCTTCTCAAAACGCTCCTGCGTGCCAAACTGCGAGCCTTGACTACAGCAGGTCATTGCCTCTTTAAGGAAAACAAGCATGACAAGTCAGAAAAAAAAAAAAAAAAGACAACCCATCGCTGTCTCTGCTGAGAAACTTTGATCATTTAAATATTATTGATGCGCATTAACCCCGGCAGAGATGGGCTGGGTGATGGGAAGTGCTTCACCTTGACACAGGGAAAATATGTTGCTTTCTGCTGCCTCGTCTTTTGTTTCATATATCAAATCGGAGCCCAGCCAAGTGAATCAGCTCAGGAAGCATTTCGGATGTATTTGATTTTTTGGGGAAGGTAGAGCTTTCCTCATCTTTACCAGCTGTGGGGGTGTAAGCATGGATAAAAACAGGAGGGCTGTTTAAAGGAGGGATCTATAATTAACAACCCCTCAGAAGGGGAACTTTCCTTTTAACTTACTATTAAAGTGGAAGTGTTTGGAGAATATACAGTTTTGGCTCGGGGGATCTCCTCTGTATCCTTGGCTGAGCCCTGTGAATTCCTCTAATTCCTGCCTCAGAGAGCGTCTGGCTTTAAAAACAACTCCTGCTACCCCATGGAGGACTCCTCTCAATCCCTGGATGGATTCCCGTGCTYGGGGAGGGCAGCAGAGGGAGGAGAGCTCCCTTCCCAGGGCAGGGCTGTGTTCCCAATCCTGGGAGGAGACTCCTTCCACAAAGGCTTTGTCACCTGAGGAAGGTGCRTGTCACTTCTAATGGAGCTGACAGCAGCCAGGGAGGGGTTTCAGCCTCGTGGTTGAAGAACACACTYGTAATGAGTGAAGTAATTGAATAAATGCTGACAGTTTGATGCGGGAAAATGCATAATCAGCTCGCTGTGGAAGGTTGGCTTGTTCTTTTTTTCCCTCTTTCCTCAGCGCTGGGATAAACACAGCCATTCTGTGCCAAGCAGGTGATGTGTTCAGCARCAC